ATTCACACCTACGGACAATTTAGAATCACCAATTAACCTCAACATGTTTTTGGACTGTGTGGGAGGAAGCTGGAGAACCTGGAGAGAACCCATGCATGTAAACTCCAGGTAGAAAGACCCCAGGCGTCCTAACCGGGAAGCAAATCGGGGATCTTCTAGATGCGAGGCAAGGGTGGTAACCACTGCACCACCTTGCAGCCCAGTTAATATTAATGGTCGGTTATATTTTGATGACTTACTGCGTTTCAGAAGAAGGCTGCCCTTTAAAAACAAGAGGCTGGTCCATAGAATGGTCACTCTTCATAGACACACAGCTGGGTTCAGGAGAGGCTGGTCTCTGCAGTTGAATCCTGATGGAATCAGAAAAACTTATCTTATAATTTTGATACTGAAGATTGTGTGTTTTGTTGGATGGCCCCTGTGAAGTGATCACAGAGAATGTGTTTACCTAAACCTGTCAAAGGAAACCTAACCACACAGCTCTATCAGATTTGTTTTTGTTAGGTTGCTGAAGTAACTGAAGGAGACTAAATAATTAAAGGTTGTGGTCTTCAGTGGTGGGTTCGTCCACGTCTCTGAAATTTCTGATATTTTTTCATGATGGACTCTTTGGTTTGATCTTCTCAGTCTCAGACTGTAAGACCACATGAAGCAACTTTTCTTGCTGCTGTTGGCGATAAATGCAATGAGCTCTGGCACTGCTGTCAGCTGATGGTCATGAAGTCATTGTCTTCAGGTCTTTAGGCTGCAGGTAAAGATGATTCTCTGTCCTCTCTGTCTCCCTGAACATCCTTCTGAGAATCTCTGTGTCTCTGAGAGCTGAGTACCAGATGACTAACATTTCACATTATTACCTTTGTTCATCTGAGTGGTGTCTCTCTTTGAAGAAGATAGGTTTGTTCATAGACTGATCACTCTTCATGGACACACAGCTGGGAGCAGGAGAACCTGGTCTGTTCTGCTGCTTTGTTCTNTTGGAGAAGTGGAGGCTCCGATGTGGACCAAAGAGTTCCAGTGTGCAGGTGATGAGTCTGGTCTCCTGGACTGTAAAAGCTCAGACTCATTTGGAAACACCTGCTCACCTGGCAGAGCTGTTTTTCTCATCTGCTCAGGTATAAGAAGACTTGCATCTTTGATTTGGTTAATTTCTATTCATTTTATTCTTTTACTGACAACTCTGGTTTCTGTTCAGAGCCTGTCAGGTTGGTGGGAGAAGCCAGTCGCTGTGCAGGTACGCTGGAGATGAAAGACGTTGGAATGTGGAGACCAGTGGAAGCCTCTCAATGGACCCTGAAGGCAGCAGGTCTTTTCTGTCTATATCTACGCTGTGGCACTGCTGTTTCTGTAGGAGAGAGAGGGTACTCACACAGACCTGTGTGGTTGATTGAATCTGACTGTGTTCGGTCTGGAATTGATCTAAGGGAGTGTCTAATATTATCGACGTCTTCCTCCATTCTGAATCTCATCTGCTCAGGTAAGTAACTGATAGATTCCCGCTGTCTGAACGGACATGACTGGCACTTTTGTAGCATTTTTAAACGTTGTGATGCCTCTGCCTGAATCGGCACTTTCTATAGCACTTTAACATGCTGTGCTGCCACTGGACCGAACTGCACTAGTACTGATATACTGTCCTGAACTTTTTTTTAGCAATTAAACATACTGTGCTCAGGCTCCTGCTCCACTAATGTGTTTGCATGTTTTTACGTTGTTTTCTAGTGATGACTATTTATGTTTGATTACTTTTTTAACCTACTCTTGTTTGTTGTCTTTGTGTGGTACTGATGCGGGCGAGGAGGAACGATGTTTCTGGGAATTTTCTGTGTACGCAGGTGCAGAGAAATGACAGAGTAATCTTAAATCTTGAAGCACATCACTGACATCATCTGTGATGGTAATAGTTTTGTTTGACATGAACTGTCTCTGGACAGCGGACAAGAGCAGGAGGCAGAAGCAGAGACAATCAGCTGCAGTGAATTCAGACAGCTTTAAAAAACACATTTCCAGACCGATCATTTGCTTTGCTTGCAGTCTCCAGATATATCGTTGTATTCATGAGTCATGAATTCTCATGTAAGTCAGCTTCAAATCAGTTGAACACTGAGATCATTCATCGTCAAACAACTGTAAGAAATACAGACATCTCTCTATTAATAATCTGTCACAGATTCAGAACATCAGGGCTTAAATATCTGAATATATAATATTTAATATCCCTGAAGCGTCACCATAATCAACGTGTGTTCTGTTCATAGAATGAATGTTCAAAATCCAACAACTTAAATCTCTCCAATTAAACTAAAATGAAAAGTTTGTATCAAGCATCATATTGCTGAGCCAACATCTAAGCCAATCAGCCGTTAGATGGCCTGAGAACAAGGCCAGGACACACAAGGAGGAACCTGTATGACTAGGTTTGGGGCGTCCCTACAAGGCAGAATCAGACTCTGTGTTTACAATCTAATCATTCTGTTCAGTGTTTGCTACCATGTTACAGGGTGACTGTGACCTCAACCTCCATCATTTGTTATTTTTCACAGATGTGCTGGTTCAGCCAAATATCTCTGTGTCTTCTTCCATGGATGGGGTCTTCCAGGACCAGCAGCAGAGGTTTCAGGTGTCTAAGGGCTCCAACTTAACCATCACCTGCTCTGTCCAGCCACAGTTCCCCGGAGGGTCCTTCCAGCTCAGATTTACTTCCTCCAGCACGGCATTCAACTACTCCCAGCCAGCTGTCAATCACTCGGCACACTTTCTGTTTCCTGCTGCAGAGCCCGCCCACCAAGGAAACTACAGCTGTGTTTATCACGTCTACACGTTTTCCCTTAACTTCTCCTCCGAGAGCCGTGTGCTGTCTGTCGCTGTCCCGGGTAAGTTGAAGAAGAGACTCAGAAATGCCACATTGACCATTTACATGCAGCTATTGAAAAGATGACCAGTCAGCAGGATCTGATCAACAGAATCCATGCGTGTCATTCTTTGTCCAATCGCACAATAACTACTGTCTGTGTATCACACATAGCATGGGAAGCATATTTGTAGAAAGTGTATAAATAGCGTACTGTAGAGCAGAGTAAGTTTGGTTATCAGGACAATAGTTCAATAGTCCTGAATTTACAGTATTGGTACATATTTATGCCGAAGCTTGATTGGAGCATGGGTATGGGCAATGGTCCAATCAAGGCCTGTACCTATCTGTCCTTCTTATTCACATCATAAAAATCATCATGAGTCATATGCTAGTTTTGTGTGCCATTTTTTGAACTAGATCACCTTTTTCTGAAGGCGCTGTGTCAAGGACTCACAAACTCAGAACAGGTGGACACAAATGCACGACACAGATGGGTTCAGGCAGAAAGGCAGGTTTATTACCAGGCAGGGTTCGGTTCACGGGAGATCAGTTAGTCAGGCAGAGGTATCCAAAAACGAGAGGCAAAAAGGCAAGGTCGAAGGCAGGAACGAGGTCGTACACAAACAGACAATGACTATGAAACGCTGGGATGAGGAGCGTGAAGTACAACGAACTGGCAACGAGACTGTGAGACACACAGGGTAAAATACAAGAGGTAATGAGGGAGGATGGGAAACAGGTGAGGGGAACAATGAGGGGGCAGGTGTGACTAGACGGGGGCAGGGTGTGTGGGAAGTGAATCTAAGACAGAAACAACAGGTTAGTGATTTCAAAATAAAACAGGAAAGACAAGACATGAAATGTGCAAACGTAAAACAGAAACTTGACGGACATGACACGCTGTTTCAAAAAGGATCAAAGGTTTGCTTGTTCAAATATGCTGAAAAAGTATCTATTCAAATAAAGGCAAACTCCATAAAAAACTCAGGTAGGAACAACAGACGAGATCTCTTTTCAGTAAAGAAAGACGGGGAAATCCTGTCTTTACAGAAAAGAGGATTGAACCTGGAATGCAAACAAAAACTGTAAAGTCAATATTTGGTATGGTAAGTGAAATTAAAGAAAAAATGTAATCTCTTGTGTAACAACTGTGTGTCTGATCAGATCCAACAGCTCTTATCATCAGAGGGGTTGTCGTGCCGCTGACTCTGCTGGTGGTGAACGTCGCCCTTTATTTCTACTGTAAGGTACAGTGCACATGTTTGTAGCTAGGAGTGTGGCACTCAGCCTGTGTTTATTGCACTAAAGAAAGGAGTTACTCGGTCGCTCACATCTGTGTGCTGTCATGTCTCTCCAGGCCACCAGGGGGCAGAGGCCGAGCAGGCAGCAGAACATGGAGCTGGTTGACTGTAACCTTAATGTATCTGCAGCAGAAGAAGGGCTGGATGAAAAGGAAGGAGCCCAGGGAGCAGAGTAGGATGTCCACGGAGCCCACCTCATGTCCACATGAGTGACTGACAATCGCCCTAGTTGCTGATTTTTCAGATAAAGTAAAACAATAAGGCTGAGATTATTCTGTAGCTTTCTTATTCTCACCATATGTTGGAAGTACTGGGTATCGGAAACTGGTTCCACCTTAAAATGGGTTCAAAAAGTCTGATCCTAAACTAATCATGAGGAAAATGCGTTTAAAAATAAAATAAAATAAAATAATGTATCAGTTCCTAACCAAACTTTACTCATGCTAGAATGAAAAAGCAGTGCAGCACAAGCACCTGTCATGTATCTACTATCTGTCTGCGGTGTTTTCGTGCAAATCGATGGCATGTGCGTCTTCCAGTCTCCTAAATCATGACTCTAGCATTGTTCTCAGTGAACCTACTCGGTCATAGAGTTGTTTGGTTAGCAGGTTAACAGAATGAGTAGTGTGGGCGTCTTGTGACAATGCCTTTAATTTAGCAAATGCTTCAAAATACTTTGGGATTGGACGGTGGCATTGCTACAGTGAACCCCAAAATACTAAAGAATCCAGAAAACAGACTATGTTATCTGGCCCTGTGTTTCTGCTGGTACGATTTATGAAGAATGTAGGAGGATGCTGTAGTAACATTAGTCTTTTTGTCCCCTCTGTGACAATTAACTAATTTGCTTATTGGGGCTCGATACAGTTGACTGAAGGTACTTACTGCCCCGTATACAACATGCTGATAAGTGTATACTCACTCGGGGAGACTCGCTTCACAACAATCCCACTAGTCTACATTTCCACCTTCTCTAAAGGGGATGTGCGCTCAAGTTGTGGGTGTGTGACTGGTTAAAAAACAGTAAATAGAATAATAATACATTTTAGTATTAGCCATTAAACATAGATTGCCAGTGTAGTACTCAGATCCATCACTCAGTTAAAAGTACCAATACTACAATGTAAAACTAAGTATAATTAGGGCAATGTACTGTGACATTGAAAGTAAAAGTATTCAATGCAGAAGACGTCTCCTATAACCCTGTCTCTTATATCAGGACTTTATTATTGCTCAAGCATTGATGTTAAAGCAGGATTTTACTGTAAGCCCGACTGCCTGCCACTCAAAGAATGGGATCAGGAATCATTAAGAAGCAGAATCAATCAGCAGAATCTGAATCGTAAAAAAAGTAGAAATGATACCCAGTGCTATAAGTCTGTGCATCTCTCTGTACCTTCTAATTTCCCTGCCTTGTCTATGTGCTCTCAGCTCTTCGCCCATTGTTTCCTCCTGAAGATGGTAAATATGAATACAGGTGACTGAAATGACTTTGCTCCGAACAATAAAATCCTGATTATCAAATAATATAAATAGGACCAAAAGTTAAAGCCTCATTTGATTTTGGATCACAGGACTTTGTTACTTTGTTGCTATTTATGAAACATTTTATAATATTTGATTATAATTTGTAATGAAGAAATTATCTTGTTTTGCAATAATTGATTATTCTTATTATTATTGAAAAAACAACTCAGTTTTGTAATTATGGATTTTTCCCCTTTTTAAAAATAATTTTGCTTAAATTTTATGTAAAGAATTCGTCTAATGATTATACTTTTACATTAGAGTGTTTTGTACAAAAATTTATTTGTTTTGCGATTATGGATTTTGCTTATTTTGTACAAAATAAAAATAATAAAAACATTTCATACTAAAAGAATTTGCTGACTTTGCAATCATCATTTTCAACAATTTTGCTTCATTTTGTCGAATATTTTGCTTATTTCTGTAATTATGAATGTTGCTGCATAATATTGCAATAATCAGCTAAATAATCTGAGTCAAAACATGAACACATATGCCTCAGGAGTCTTTGAGGAGTGCACAAATTCAACATTTTAAAAAGAAACATTTAGTTTAGGTTTGGACTTCTGATGAAAACAACTTGAAGCTCCTGTGAGATGCATCCTGTTTGTCAGTCAGAAGCTTTACTGTAAACTGACTCTTATCTAGTTTTACAACCAACCTTTTTAAAAAGTATCTTTATGTAAAGACATCAGTCTGTACACATCTGGATTTTGTTACCAGAGATACAAGCTGAATATGTGCTACAGTAGCCATGGATTCCCTTACCTCACCATTTAGCTTTCATCCATTCATCCATTATCTATACACCGCTTAATCCTCAATAGGGTCGCGGCTCAAAAGCCAGTTTTCCCAGAGACTCAATCATCTTCCTGCTCTCTGGACTCCAGTGTNGAGAAGAGTCATGGACAGTTAGAGATGTTCATCTCACCTCTGAGCTTTGCTCTGGTTCTCATGTTCCCCCCACAGAGTGGTTTTAGAGGGAGGGACTCCCTCCTCTCTGTCCTCACACTGATCCATAGCAGAGCCACACCTTCACAAAAACACAACAACCTGCTCAGAATAACAACAACATTAGGTCTCATTACTGTCACTGATGTGGTACAAATATTCAGGACTGAGGAAAACCTTTCAGCCCTGAATCCCAAGAATCCCAAAGTTTGTTCTGACCACCTCCCTACAATGTCTTTTATACAAACATAGCATCTGGTCAAGTAGCTCCATGTTTTTACAGTCGCGACAGCAATGTAACATTTGATCGTACACATGAGGAGCACTTAGACATTACAGGCACATCTCAAATAAATAGAATAGTATAAAAAAGGGAAACTGATATATTCCATATTCATTACAAATCAAGTTAAAGCTTTAGTTTTTTAAATTTTGATGATTTTGTCTTTTAGTTCATGAAAATCATAAATGCAGTATCTCAATTTAATAGAACATTTCCTAAAATACATGTCTGTAAATGTCCAACTGCTCATGCGTATGTTCATGGGCTCAGTACTTGGTTAGGGCTCTGTTACCATGGATTACTACATCAGTGATGCATGGCATTGAAGAGATCTGCCTGTGGCACTGCTGAGGTGTTACTGAAGCCTGTGTTGCTTTTTTACAATTTTTTAAATAGAATTTTAAAAACAGAATAAAAAAAATCATATCAAAAATAACGAGAGAATTTTTCATTACTTTCTTCAAAGTCAGAAGTTTATATTCGCTAAGATTACTCTGCCTTCAAACTATTTGGGAAAGCCCAGATGATGATGTCACGGCTTTGGAAGATTTGACAATAATTGACAACATTGGAGTTAATTGGAGGCACATCTGTGGATGTATTTTAAGGCTGACCTCAAACACGCTGCTTCCTTTTGTGACAACATGGAAAATCTAAAGTAATCAGCCAAGATATCAGGAAGAGAATTGTGGACCTCCACATGTCCGGTTCATCCTTGGGTACAATTTCTAGATGCCTGAAGGTTCCACATTCACCTGTTCAAACAATTATATGAAGTATAAACATCATGGGAATGTCCAGCCGTCGTACTGCTCAGGAAGGAGACGGGTTCTGTGTCCAGAGATGAAGTGTTTTAGTGAGAAATGTGTGAATCAACCCCAGAACAAAAGCTAAAGACCTTGTGAAGATGCTGCTGAAGCTGGTCAGAGAGTCATTAGCCACAGTGAAACCAGTCCTGTACCGACATGGGCTGAAAGGATACTCAGAGAGGAAGAAGACATTACTCCAGAAGAAACATAAAAAAGCCAGATTATAGTTTGTAAATGCACACAGAGACAAAGACCTTCATTTGTGGAGACATGTCCTGTGGTCTGATGAAACTAAAACTGAACTGTTTGACCATAATGACCATCGTTACATTTGGAGGAAAAACGAGGAAGCTTGAAGCCTGAGAACACCATCCCAACTGTGAAGCACGGGGGTGGCAGCATCATGTTGTGGGGCTGTTTTGCTGCAGGAGGGACTGATGCACTTCACTAAATAGATGACATCATGAGGAGAGAACATTATGTGGAAATATTGAAGCAATGTCTCAAGACATCAGCCAGGAAGTTCAAGCTTGGGAACAAATAAGTCTTCCAAATGGACAATGACCCTAAACATACCACCAGATTAGTTACAAAGTGGCTTCTGGACAACAAAGTCAATGTTAGAAAATTTGTGGGCAGAGCTGAGAAGGTGTGTGGAGCAAGACGGCCAACAAACCTGACTCAGTTCCACCAGTTCTGTTGGAGGAATGGACCAGAATTCATCAAACTATTGTGAGAAGCTTGTGGAAGGAAACCCAAAACATTTGACCCAAGTCATACAGTTTAAAGGCAATACTACCAAAAATTAAGGAAATGTATGTAAACTTCTGACTTTGAAGAAACTAATAAAAAAATTCTCTTGAAAATTCTCTCTCTTATTATTCTAGCATTTAGCAAATAGAAATAATTTTGATAATCCTAGCTGACCTAAAACAGGTAATGTTTTGTCTGATTATATGTCAGTGAGAAAAAAAGGTTATGTCTTTTTATACAGTGTATGTAAAGCTCTGGTTTCAACTGTATGCATATATCTGGAGTAATGCTGTGTGATGCACTGGTTCACGGTGATGGTCAGTGATGTTTTAGAACAGGGGGTTTACTGCAGGTTTACTTTCCACTGATTGCAACCCACAAGCATGCTCTATCGTGGTTAAATGCACAGTATTAGTCAACATTTATACTTGCTGAATATGTTTACACTGATAAGACAACCAAGAATACAAACAGGTTTTCATAACTTCCTGTCACAACTGATGATACTCATACTTTGTCAAACATCAGCAGCAAAGGCTGTTCATGATCACAGTTAATTAAGTTCCAAAGCTTAAGTTTAAGGCCTCACTTAAAGCCACACCCTGTCCAAACAAATATATGTGGGTCTAACGTTTTTCTCTCTTTCTCTGACTTTTACTCTTTTTCAGCTCATAAACTACAAGTGGATTCAACAGATTTATGGACTCCCTGCAGTGAGACGCCACGATCCTCCTGTTGTCCGGGTTTGCAGGTGCTTCCCTGGCTCTTCAACAAACCAAACGTTAACCTTCCCAGTGGTTTGGTCTTTGTTTGTGAAAAGGTTCAAATGCATTGTTTGAATGCAATTACCTTATATTTTTGTTGTTGTTGGAATCTTCAGCCACCGTAAGTTTGCTCTCGCTGACTTCAGTCAACAGTTTTTTATTGACGACTCTGTGTCAGTGGGAAAACCAATTGTTCATACTGGTTTCTCACAGTGACTGGAGCTTCATTATGCAGCACAGCAAACCATGCTGCAGACTGTAGGACAACATGGCTCAAAGGACACAGACAAACTGCTTGGCATGTTGTTCATTAGGGGTTTAATTCAAGACTTTATTACAATAAGTGAGTGCATTAGTAACAAGTGAAAAGATGCACAAAGAAGAAGCAAAACAAAAGCTTATAAATACACGCATACATGTATGTGGATCTATAAACATATATATAAACATACAATATGTTCTGTGTCCTGGCCTGTCTGCATGTGATGTGTTTTAATGCATCATTTTTAGTAGGACAACTGTGCACATGCAAAAGAAACGTCTTCCCTTGTCATGCAAAAAGATGCAATAAAGTTGTTATGAATCATTATGTATCAGTTCTGGTATTAGTAAGTGCATAGTGGCTTAACAATTGTAAACATAAAATAGATAAATAAATTCAATTCCACTTATTTGCAAAGAGTTTCCTGAGACATCACATTTCTGATTGTACCTGCCGCTAATCCGCTGATCCGTTCATAGCTGTCCGTCTTCTTCTGTCCTCTCTGAAACAGATTGCATTAGTCTTTACATCATTAAGATGACTTAGATCAGAAAATAACTCACAGGATAAGTCATAGGATAATTATTTGATTGATTGATTCTGTATTTATTATAAAACCTAACCATAAATCATGTTCATTACAGTCGAAAGAAGGACGTACTGAACACATCCAGCCTAAACATCAGAAACAACATTTCCTATTGTCTACAGCTGCAAATCACACGTTTTTTAATTGCTGATTAACAGTGGATTACTTTCTGGATTACTAGATTAGTTTGTTGGTTTATAAAATGTCAGAAAATGTTAATAAATAAATAAATAAATAATAGTGTTTATTGTCATAGAGGAGTGAAAAAAACAGAAAATATTCAGTTGATATAAAAAGTTTTTTTTTCCACCTAAAATTTACTCAAACCAATTAATCAATTATCAGAATAGTTAGTGATTGGTTTCGTAGCTGACATGTGATCAATTCATTGTTGCATCTTTAGTATCATTTTAAATGTCAGGTCTTATCATGCTGTAAACTGCACATTTCTTTGGTCTCAGTTATCCAGTTAGAAGAAAAGTTTCACAAAACCTTTGCTGTGGCCGCAGACATGAAGTTCTGTGTATTTGCATGTTGACTGTTTGACCCAGATAGAAGCAGCTGCTCAGGATCACTTCTTGGAACAGCAGCAGCAGCACAACCTGCTGGCCGCTCCTCAGCAAAGCAGTTACGCTCACCTAATGCTGCGTTCACATACACTCGGACATCATAAGTGCTTTTGTTGAAACGTGGACATTAGAGCTTAATCAGATGACCTTGACTTGCCGGGGCGTCCTACGAGATTTCCAGGTTGGTCTTTATCCTCTTCGCGATAGTGTCGTCTAAATTCATCCTGTTGATTTAAAGACGTTTTGGATCTGGACTTTGTCAATTGTGGTCCAGATGCATAAAAAGCAGTGAAATGTACTTGATACATTTCAAAGTGGGTTTCAGACAGCGTTAAGGCTTCATCTAAAACCTCTAA